GCTGAGTGCGCGTCCTTTTGGAGTGCTTAGGCCCATGTTTCTTCTTTTTAATTTTGTTTATTTGTTTTTGGCTGTGCTGGGTCTTCATTGCGATGCGGGCTTTTCTCGAGCTGCACGAGCGGGGACCTCTCTCTGTTGGTGGTGCGTGGCTCCTCGTTGCTGGGGCCTCTGGTGTCCTGGAGTGCTCAGGCCATGGCCTCAGGAGCGTGGCTTGCGGGCTCCCGGGTGCACACACACACTCACAGCCGTGCCACATGCCCACAGTCGTGGCCCGTGGGCTTAGCTGCCCGGGGTCATGTGGAGTCGTCCCTGACCAGGGGCTGAATCCGAGTCCCCTGCGCCGGCAGGTGGACCCTTAACCACCAGATCAGGAGGGCAGTCCCCCCGTATTTCTAAGCAACATGCTTATACTGTTGAGACTTTTCTCCCAAGCATTACCTATTAATGCCTGGGAGAAGCAAGCATCACCGCCTGCCCAGATGAAGGAGGAGGATTTGGCTGTTTTCAGCCTCCCCTGCCGTCAGGGTGGACAGGACACAGGGGGGCGTCCCCGCCAACTGGGATCTAATCGCTTCTGGATCCAGCTTTCCAACAACTGTCCTCTCTTATCCCCACCTCGTCCCCAACTCGCAAAGGCACGGAAGCCACACTCAGGCTGGCTCCCCCTGCCACCGCCAGCTTCAGGCTCAGCTTTCTCGGGGAGGCTCAGTTGAGCCAGTTCTCTGGTTTTCAGTTTCCAAAATTTCATTGCCCCCATTTTCTTCGTCCTTATAAGTTTTTTTTAAAAAAAAAAAAAAGAAAGAAAGAAAACCCTATTGTCATTTTAATGAGGCTCAGAATGGGGCAGAGATTAAACACATGTGTTAATTCACCATCCTGGACAGGAAGTTAGTCATTGATTTCTTTTTTCTTTCCAGAGAACAAATGATTTTCCATTTAAATTCACCTGATAAAAACATCCAGTGCACTGAAGCAGAACAGGCTGGGCTTCCTTCTAGATCATCTACCTATTTTTTTTAATGAAACAGATCGATTCAACTGACTAAACAGAAAATTAAAATTCAAACAGAGGCTGCCAGGTTTGGAGCCACTGAAGGAGGGAAAGAGCTAGATATTAGAAAGAGGAAAGGATGTTTCCCCTGGAAGAGTCCGGCGAATCTTTTGTCAGCTCTTACAGGCTTTTAGGAAGGCCTTGAGGGGACTCTGGCGGCGCCGTCCCCTCTGGAGGCCTGTCCCGAGCCCACACCCCCACGTGGCTGCTTCCTGGGAGAACAGCCCCTGCTAGACGGGGAGGACGTGTGCCGTTACTCAGCTCAGAGCCGCCCTGCACCCCGTGGCGGCCCACGTCCCTCCCCGTGAGCCGAGCGTTCAGTCAGCTTCTGCTGCTGGCGCCTCCGGCTCTGAGAAAGCGCTCCACACCCTGCCTGCCCTGGCCCCTCCTTCTGGCCCTCCCCAGGGCTGATGTCCCCCCTTTCAGGGGAAGACACCCCTCCCCTCCACAAGGCACCTACATAGTGCGGCTCTGCATTATCTCAGAAGGGCGCTTCTCCCCGCTTTCTAGGGTCAAGCGTTTCACGGCTACACTGATGCCTGCCTTCTCACTTCCTGCATCCTTCATCCCAGGAGCATCTTTTAGCAGGTGCATCGTCCTCTTTGCCTCCACTGGAGAAGGGACAGGCTGCCCACCCCAGGATTCTGGGGCTTCCCTGGTGGCTCAGCTGGTAAAGAATCCGCCTGCAATGCAGGAGACCTGGGTTCGATCCCTGGGTTGAGAAGATCCCCTGGAGAAGGGAAAGGCTACCCACTTCAGTACTCTGGCCTGGAGAATTCCAGGAACTATATAGTCGATGGGGTCGCAAAGAATCAGACACAACTGAGAGACTTTCACACTCACTCTTTGCCTCTTCACTGGATCTTCCACACTCCTAGGAACATAGTTTTCTTATTAAGATTTCCCTTTAATCCTCATGGTTCAGGTGGTAAAAGCATCTGCTTGCAATGCAAGAGACCCAGGTTTGATCGCTGGTTGGGGAAGATCCTCTGGAGAAGGAAATAGCAACCCACTCCAGGACTCTTGCCTGGAGAATTCCATGGACGGAGGAGCCTGGTAGGCTATATAGTACTTGGGGTCGCAAAGAGTCGGACATGACTGAACAGCTTCACTTTCACTTTAAAACCTCTAAACGTCCGCGCTGCCATAGTCTCTTCCTTGAAGAGCGGGCTCTTCAGGAGCCCCGGTGATCACCGCCTGGCTGTCCCCACCAGCTCCCTTGGCTCCTCCGGGTCACTGCTCGGCATGCAGGTCTCTGGCCCAACGCTGGCTGCGGGTCTTCCCTTCCCAGGGTTCCTCCCCGGCCTCAGTCCCTATTCCCAACGACAGCATCAGGAGAGACATTTCTAGCTCCGAAAAAGCAGTTACACAGCGGGGAGTCTGAACCTGTCCAAACTGGGTGCAGTTTTTAACATGGGATGAGAGGTGGGTATGCAACTCTTTATTCTCACTTACGTATTTACACGAAGGTTTATATAGTAAGAATAGAAATCTGTGTTTAAAAGTCTGGAATACTTCTAGAACAATCCTCCATTCTAGCACTTTGGGGACCTGTATCTTCTCTTTCTCATTGCAAGATTAAAGCTCTGCAAGCAGAAGAATAATTCCTTACCAAAAGTAAAATCTTATGCAAATGTTTTTGAGCCCAATACTGACTAGCAACTCTTCAGATGACTAAGAATGATCTGCCTTACGATAACTATAAACACAAGAAACAAAGCTTCCGAGGCTCTAAAATAAGCACTTGGGATAACAGAAGGGCCGTGTAGGCGGCCGGCAGTAATTGTGAAACCGAGTGACGATTGGACGTGACTCTGAAGGGCTTTCAACCCAGAGCAGCTCAGAACATTACGGTGGTTATCCGCACCCCCACCCAAAGCAAAACCCTCAACAGGCAAGACTCCTCAGCTTTTTAAATATGAGCAAATACATCCCTTACTGAAATCAAACAGAAAAACGATATAAAGCTGCACGATGCCAGACATCATCAAATGTCATAAGCCAACGAAGTTGCAAAGAACTTCCAATAACTCAAATTGGTAAATGAATAACCAGCTCCTTTTTCCCCAGTAAATGCCGTTTCAGATGCTAACAGTCCACAACTCTCATAGCAGTACATGCATTTTATAGAATCCAATACTTCATAAAAGCCAAGTCACATTTAGCCAGTTTCTCTCTGAGCGACTCCGCCTCACAGATGTTAGATGTCATGGGTGAAACAGGGAGTCACCTGGCCCGCGAGCCTGGTGCGCAAGAGGTCACCGCCCCGCTCGGAAGACAGGACACGTTAGCAGAAGACGCAGTGACTCAAGAGGCTCATCGGCCGAACCAGACACGTCTGAGGGGCTGAACGAAACGGGGCCATGACCCAAGCCCTGGAATCAGGAAAGCTCTCCAGGGAGAAGGGGACAGGCTGACAGGAGGGAGCAGAGGCTCTGCCTCGTGGAGATGCAAACACAGCGGAGGGGAGGCGACAGAGCCCGGCTGGGCCAACGACCCCGGACCTGCTCCTTCTGACAGGGCCTGCGCTCAGTGGTCCTCTGCACTCAGACACTGTGACCGCCACTGAGAGCTCAGCGTCTCCCCTTCCACCAATCACCAGGGTCCCCCACGGCCGCCCCGGCCAAGTCCAGGGCCCCGAGTCACACACGCCAAGGACTGTATCTGTCTGACTGTGCGTGCTTACTTGCATACTTCGTGTTTGATCTGAAGGTTCTAGAAAACAAAAACCTTGCCTATTTTCTAATATTTTGGTATGTAATAGGTCTTACAAGTACTGTATGCACAGTACAAGTTCAAAACATATTTATTAGATGAACAGATGATTGAATTAATAATTTTTATATATAATATTGGCAAAGTAAGTGGGCCAGTCAGCAATGACCATGCATAGGAACTTAGAAGTTTGGTCAGAACTTTAGATTTGATGATTTTTATGGAGGGTAGTAACATGATAAAAATGGTAATTATTATATGGTAATTGTTGTAACTTGCTCTAGTTGTGGTTGTGTTTCACAAAGGACTAGATGTAGAAAGACTACTTTGCTAATATAACAATACTTTGCTAACAAGTTGAGGGCTTTTGTCTAATGTGCATATTCTTCAAAAACACCAAAAGAGAAATTGTTCCACGTATCTCTGCCTTTAATCTATTATAAACGAGTTCATTTCTGAGATAAGAGATGACTTTTTTTTAAGGCCAGGTAATAGTCACGGTCTCTTGATTTGAAAGAACAGCAACCAAAACCCCCATGAAATTAAGGACAGTTTCCTTATTTATGAATTATGAATACGCTCCATACTGACACTTAAAATTTGAAAATCGAAAGTTCATTTTGCCTATACATATAATAATGCAGAACACTTGACCTTTTGGGTTTTATCATAGCTAAAACTAATGAGATGGTTGTTTACGTAAGCAGAATTTTACAATCCAGCGTAACATTTGGTTGTGAAATGGAGGAATCCATCAGCATGTGGAAATGCTGGCGCGTTAACAGTTTCAAGAGGCGGTAATTGGGTAACTCCTGCTTAGGAGTCTCCCCTGTCCTGCGTCGGCTATGAAGTCATGGCTCGTGGGGCTGGCCGCTCAGGGAACACGCAAGAGGAACAGATGAATGCTCGGGGTCTCAATCTGAGCTGCAGGTTAGGAATGCTTGGGAACCTTTAACGGTTATGGACCCTTAAGCCATGCCCCAGACCACGTCAATATGTTTTAAAAGCTCCCCCCACGCCCCCGCCCCCACACATTCCATGTAAGTCTGTTATACAGAACCAAGGAACCAAGGAATTCCTTGAGAACCAAGGAATTAGTATTTTCTTTAGCCATGAAAAACTACTTTTTATATCTGATTTCTTTTAAATACAGTATCAAAAAGATGAAATGGCTTAGGGGTAAAATAGATGATGCTACAAAAACTTTAAAGGAAAGGAACAGATTCTCACTCACCTGCCTTCTGGCAGTGTACAATCTTTTCATACACGGCGTCTGCGTTCTCGATCACTGCCTTGAGGGACTGGATCATCTGCAAGGGAAACACCCAGACAGGCGGTCACACGGACAGCTGGACGCAGGAGGGTCCCTGCTGGGGCCAGGCCCTCCCCCGGCCATGAGACCCCCCACCTGACATCCTGCTCAGGTTCACGGGCAAAGTGGTCAAGCCAGGCCTCCCTACAGAAGCCCTCAGACCAGACTGCGAGGAGTGTCTTCCCCAAGGTGGTCACGCTGGATGTGACCCTTGAGCCAGCACCAAACTAAGTCCCTTTCAGTATGACGATAGAAGTGAACATGGGTGCACATCCGATCCGTTCTTCATTCTAAACAACACCTCTTCCATCACCTTATGGAAAGCTGCAGCACCCAAACGCCTCACTCTCTTCACCCAAGATGCCTTTGTTTGAGACTCAGTTTAAAACTTCCAATGAGGATCAAAAACAGCATTTATGTGATGCATCACAAACGCTATCACTCAAACCAATGTTTTCAGCATGCCTATCACTAATTTTAAAAATCCAGCGTTGAGTTCTTGTTCCAGACTGCTTGTGCTTGTTTTAGGAGCGATGCCTGAATTAAGAAAAAGGAACAGGGTACAGCTGACCCATTATTTTACTCACCAAAGTGCTGGGAAAAGATCTGTCTGAAGTAAACTTTTTGGCTCTGAAATTGCTATGAAAATGGGATGGCCAGATTCAGTTCTCATGATTCAAACGGGTACAATTATGATCCTTGCCTTATGGGGTAGACTCTCGCTTTTTGTATTTATGTTTTTAAATTTAATTTTAATATTAGAGTACAGCTGATTACAATGCTGTGTTAGTTTCAGATCTGCAGCTAAGTGATATCCATTCTTTTTCTGATTCTTTTCTTCTACACGTTATTACGGAATACTGAGTAGGCTTCTCTGTGCTAATAGTAGGTCCCTGTTGATTAATAGCTTTTTGTATTTAAATGTCCAAATATTTCACATGATAATATTACTTATCTCTGTTGCATGACCATTTTACTTTATATAACAAACACCACTCCATCATTTTCCCTTCCTTAAATTCTGCCTAGTTTTTCCTTATAGTACTCATCACTGGCTGCCACAGTAATTATTTTATGGAAACTAAATGTATGTAGGTTGGATTATTTATATAACTTGAAGAGCACCATATTTTATTAGTTGTACTTATTTAAACTAAAGCATAATCAACACGCCTCTTAAGAAGTACACCAGATTCTTAAAGTGAGTCACACAGCATTTATCAACGTCCACTGTTCTAAGAAAATGACAGTAAACACTGTGAAGTTTGAAGGCCGAAGCAGGTGTTCACTCAGGCCTTCATTCATCATCTGTGAGGTTTCCTGTGAGGGCGCACACTGGGGCCGGTGGCCTAAAGGACTCGGGTCACTGTCTGCAGGAAGTCTACAGACTCGGTCGCTGTCTGCAGGAAGTCTACAGCCCCGTGCAGGCCTCCCGCTTAGGAATTCAGTCTTTCCACATTCGCTCTTCAAGGTCTGAGTCATTCCTGGAGAGTATTCTACTCTATGGCGTGACATACGGAACAGGCAGTGACAAAAACGAACAGTTCAGAACTCGGCAATGCCGATGGAAAGTCATTCGTACCATTCCATAGTTTGCATACTGAAAAGGTTCATACCGTCATCAGCAACCTTTCTCAGCTTTGAAGTCGAGCCAAATAAGAGACGCCAAGCAGCCAGGACGCCTCCCAGCAAGGATGCTGGCTCTCACAGCTCAGCGTCAAAGAACTGGCCAATCGTGCCCCCATCATTGAAACTGAGGGGGAAAAGCAACGAAAGGCAGCCGTCCCTGAGACAAGTGGGCAATGCAGGAGTGGTGACAGCCGCGAGGGGAGATCGGGAGTCCAGACAACCTGTGGGGGAAGGCGGTCACCAGAGGTCTGCACCGGGGGAGCAGGGGTGCAGGACAGGCACAGGTTCACGTGGGTTCCTCGGCTTCGGCATCGAGCGCAAGATGTAAATGTGGTGAGCGACGATGTATTTCCCACCTGCAAGCTGAGTTTAATGAAAGGCATGATGAGGGTTCACAAGAATGCGGGGATCAGAGGAGGGGAGGCTTGTGGCTGGAGCCTTCGGAGAGAAATGTCCCAGGGGGCTCCCCACCCACCTGGGGGCCAGGCACCTCCAGGGGCGGGCCTTCCTGTCCTGCGCTCGCTGATCCTAGCTTGGTTTGAAAAGCCTGCTGTGACAAGGCTCAGAGCAACAACAGGTCACATTATTATTCTTAGAAGCATCTTCCAATTTCAGGTATCTCCAAAGGTGCTGTACCTTTTAAGTGCAAAAGACACAACAGGGCTTCAGAAGCACATGTTCCACTTCCAGGAGCTGGAGACAGACAGCGCCCTGCCCTGGGGTCTGTGACCCCTCCTCGGCCCTGGGGACAATCGGGCCCTGAAGCTCCGCGGCGTGCGGGGACCTGAGCTCCCTGCTGAGCTCGCGTGAAGCTCAGGAGGCCCGGAACCGCGAGCAGGCGGGACTCCCAGAGCCGGGGTCCCGCCGCCGCCGCCCACGTGCTCCCAGGCCGACAGCGAGACCCCTGAGCCAGGGCAGGGCGTGGGGCGGCTCAGCACGAAGTCCTCCTCCCAGTCCCTGGGACGGAGCCGCCCTGAGCTGCACGCATCTACACCCCGGGGGCGGCCGACTCCCCGGGGGAGGGAGGCAGGCACCCGAGGGGACACGGCAGGTCCATCACCACGTGCGGCGCTGAGCAGCGGGGGTCCGCGGGGGCCAGCCCAGGAGGCGGGGTCGCCGGTCAGCAGAGCCCAGACGCGGGAGGGAGGAAACGCCCCAGGCCTCGGGGGGCGACTCCCTTGCCCACCTGTCACGGAGTGAACTCAGCGCCGCCTGGGGAGGAGGAGCTGCCAGCCTGGCCCGTTCGGCAGCTGCACAGTATCTTTATAATGACGCTGACAGCCCCCGACCAGGGCGTGAGTCCATGAAGCTCCCGGTATCTGCGTCCCTTCTCCCCGGGGCGGGGCCCGTCCAGGCCGCCTCCAGGGAGCGCTCGCGGCCTTGGGCTTCCGGGAGGGCCTGGGGCCGGGCCGGCCTTACCACCCGCCCGTCCGGCAGGCCGAGGTCCACTCGGCTGACAACTCTGCCTGGAGGCGCTAAGGATGCCGCGGGGACGCGTGGGGCATCGTGAGCACAAGGCAGGGCCAGCCTCCGCCGGGTCCTCCACGCTGCAGCGCCAGGCGACTCTTGATGGTCCGAGTGCCAGCTCAGCGAGTCAGAGTGAGCATGTCCCCACCTCCCCGGTCCTGGGGTCCTACCAGCGCTCTCCATTTCGCCAGGCCCACAGGAGGCTGGCAGTGGTGGTTCCACAGATGGGAACTCGGAGGACCTGAGACTGAAGCCACTTTCCCAAGGCTGCCTGGCGTGCGGGCAAAGGCTGCAACTAAGGACTGGGGCACAGGTACCCCGCGTGACTTGGGGCCTCCACGGCGCCCATGGTACCACGAGCAGAGCTGCCCGAGAGGGGCGCGCACTCCAACCAGGACAGCGGCCAGGGGCAGGGGACGCTCGGCCTCCCGACAGCCTACACACCAACGGACAGCATCTCGGTCCTGATGTGGGCCCACGAGCGGGGTTTAAATAACGTTTCTACAAAGCACTTTGCAAAGCTATTTTCTTAAGGACAACGGTAAACAATTTTCTGGGCTCCACTTACCAACTCATTATTAAAAAACAGAAGTCATTTATGTTTAATGTGAAATCAACAAAATAAGCGTCTCCAGCTAGACAAAAGCAGATAGATGGGGCATGACATCAAGGCATGAGCTGAAGGAAAAAACTGCTTTCAGTTATCTAATTTTCTCTGCATATATTACATTAATATATCACCATAATGCAAGGCCCAGTAGAGTGACTGGTTTTATAACCATGATTTGCATTAATGCAAATACATTCATCAACACTCCTTAAATGCACAGGTGTTAAGTCTCAGCGCTGACATCAGACATCCAGCTGCCAGCCCGAATGACTTACCACATGGAACCTCATATTGTTTACAAGGCACAAGATGCTTCTACACTGCTGTCGTTAAGGGCTTCCCAGGTGGCGCTAGTGGTAGAGAATTCCCCTCGCCAATGCAGGAGACTCAAGAGATGTGAGTTCGATTCCCAGATTGGGAAGATCCCTGGGAGTAAGAAAGGGTAACCCACTTTAGTCTTCTGCCTGGAGAGTTACATGGACAGAGGAGCCTGGCAGGGCTACGGTCCGTGGGGTCACAGAATCGGACACAACCAAGGGACTGAACACAGTGGATTCTACATTAGTGTCCAGTTACAAATACCTCCTAAATTTCTGGAACTAATGTGTTAGGAAAATCTATAGATTTAACATAGCCCAGAAACCCACTTCATAAATCAACTTCAAGATAAGGTTTTAATACAGGACTCAAGCAGATGAAAAGTAGGCAGTTTCAATGAAAGGCAAAGTAAAAATTAAACCTCACATTAAATTGAAAATAAATCAGGAATGCCTTTCATAAAAATGTTTTGAAAGTTAACTCCTCATGTTAGTGTAAGACAAACGTCTCTACAGATATGGTTATAAGAAGAACTATTACTAATTAATATGTTTTATATTACTGTATTCCTGTAGGCCACTTCTTTATTTTCTGTTTACAACTTGCATATCAAGTAAGAACATTCTGTTTTCAAAATAAGCAAATCTATGTTTTTTGGTAAGGACTTTATGTCAGATTTTAGACAAGATACCAAATCTCCTTTCACCCCACCCCCCCAGGGACCCAGATTTTGGTAATTACAAAAGAAATTTGCTAGTAACGTTAAGTGCTTGGGTGACAGCAGCTTCTTGGCAACAGTGCTGACATCCTCTGAGTCCTAGACGTCCCTTCCACTCGAGCAGTCCATCAGTTTCAGATCGCAGACGCTTCCTCCCGAGCCCTCCGGCACCCACCCCGCCCTGACACAGACGCTGCAGCTGTTTCCAGTGAAGATACAAAGTCAGAGAAGTCAGAGAAGGGCTAAGGCTGCTGTG